TAACTTATTTAGCAGCCTCCTGCGCGGCACCTTGTCAAAGGCTTTCTGGAAATTCAAATAGATCTCATCCACTGTCTCTCATTTGTCTGACTTGCTTGTTATCTCCTCAAATAATTCTAACAGATTTGTCAGGCATGGCTTCCCCTGGAAAAAGCCATGCTGACTCATTCCAATTTAACCATGCACTTCCAAGTATACCACAGTCTCATCCTTAACAATGAACTCTAAATTCTTAATAACTGAGGTCAGGCTGACCAAGTTTCCTGTCTTCTGCTTCCGTCCCTTCTTAAATAGGGGTGTTATATTAGTCATTTTTCAGTCCTCTGGGGCCCTTCCTGACTCCAGTGAGTCCTGAAAGATCACATTTTTCACTGTTAGACCTTCAAGCTTCCCTAGCACATTCTCCTTAGTGATGGCCACTATACTCACCTCTGCCCCCAACTCCTGAAATTCTGGTATGTTACTGGTGTCTTCCACCATGAAGACTGATGCAAAGTATCTATTCAGTTCCTCTGCCATTTCTTTGTTCCCCTTACTACATTTCCAGCCTCATTTTCCAGCAGTCCGATATCCACTTTTGCCTCCCTCTTACTTTTTACATATCTAAAAAAATACTTGCAACCTTCTTTTGTATTACAAGTGAGCTTATTTGCATATTTCATCTTCTCCCCCAGCCCTTTACACCTCGTATTACCTTTTCAGTTATCCACTTTTGGTTTGTAAAGGCTTCCCAGTCCTCCGGCTTCCCACTAACCTACACCACATTGCGTACTTTCTCTTTCACTTTTTTTGCTGTCCCTGACTTTCCTTGTTCGCCATGGTTGCTTCACCCTCCACTTCGTAAAGTTTCTTCTTCTTTAGGATGAATTTCTACTGCACCTCTGGAATTGACCCCAGAAATTCCTGCCACTGTTGTTCCACCGTCTTCCCTCCTATGCTCCTTTTCCAAAGAACTCAGGCCAACTCCTCCCTCATTTCTTTGTAGTTACCTTGAGTCAAATGTAATATCATTACATCCGAGTCCAACACCTCTCTCTCAAAACACAGGGTCTATTCTATTATACGATGGTCACTTCCCTCCAGAGCCTCCTCACTTTAAGCTACCTGATCAAGTCTGCCTCATTACACATCACCAAATCCAGAACTGCCTGTCATTACTGAAAGGTATCAGGATGGTTTAGAAGTTCAGTGTCGAAATTGGAAGTGCGCTGATTTCAATATCATTTGACAGGATCTGGCACTCATAAGGCTCCTGTGGTGCAGCAGTAGTGTCCCTACTTCTGAGCCAGGAGGCCCAGGTTCACATCCCACCTGTTGCAGAGTTGTGTTATAATATCTGAATAGGTTGATAAAAAGTTTCTGGCAAATCCAGATCCCTGAGCCAGAAGACCTAGTTTCAAGTCCCACCTGCTCCAGAGGTGGATCATAATATCTCTAAACAGGTCAATTCAAAGTTTTCTGGCAAACAGACTGGAGCAGCTCTTTGCTGGCATGTCCACTTTTCAAAAGTGGGAGCCTTTTAAAAGTAGTACAATAAGAACTCAGGGCCAGCAAGAGCGAAGGCTAAGGGCAGCAAGTCCATGGAACACTGGATGTCAAGGGATATCAAGAATTTGACAAAGGAAAAGAGGAATTATATGTTAGGTACAGCACATTAAAACCAGGGAAGGCCCTTCAAAAGTATAGAAAGTATATGGGAGGTTGTTTAAAAAAGCAAATTAGGACGACAAAGAGGGGCTGTAAAATATCTTTGGTAGATATAATTAAGGAAAGCCCTAAGCCTTTTGAAAGTACATTGAGAGTAAGGAAGATTCCCCAGGGAAAGAATGGGGCCTATTAGTGCCTAAAGTGACAACCTATGTGTGGAGCCAATGGATGTGGCAGAGGTCTTAAATGAATGCTACTTCTCATCTGTATTTGAGGAGGAGAAAGACATTGTAGTCAGGGTTTTCAGCTTGGATGATGAGGTTATTGAACATGTTAAGATTAATAAGAAGGAGGTATTAAATGTTTTAGTGGGCATAAAGGTGCATAAATCCCCAGGACCTCATGAGATGTATCAGGCTGCTATGGCAGGCAAGGGAGAAGATTGCTGGGGCCCTGGTGGAGAAATTTAATACTTTGTTGGCCACAGGTGAAATGCAGATGACTGGAGGATAGCTAATGTGGTTCCTTTGTTCAAGAAAGGCATCAATTTAGGCCAGATAATGACAGATAGTTAATCTAATGTCAATAGTAAGGAAATCATTGGAAGAAAATCTGAAGGACAGGATTAATTAACACTTGGAACGGCAGGGATTGATCAGGGATAGTAAGCATGGATTTGATTGAGGTAGATACTGTCTAATTTAATTAAGTTGTTTTGAAAAACTAAATATATTGGAGGCTAGTGCATTTGATGTGATTTGCATGGACTTCAGTAAGGCCGTTGACAAGGTTCCTATGGAAGGCTGGTCCACAAGTTAAGGACTGATGGGATCCAAGACAAATTGATAAACTGGATCCACAATTGGCTGACAAACAGAAGGTAAAGGGTGATGTTGGAGGGTTGTTTTTGTAATTGAAAGCCTGTGACTAGTGGTGTACCACAGGGATCAGTGCTGGGACCCTTGTTGTTTGTTATGTACACTGGATATGAATATAGAAGATATAATTAATCATTTGCAAATTACATGAAAATTGGTGGCATTGGATTGTCTCAGGCTACATTCAGATGATCAACTGGTAAAGTGAGCAGAGTAATTGCAGATGAAATTTAATCCTGATGAATTTGAGTTGACTAGTTTTGGGAGGTCTAATAAAGGAAGGTTATACACAATGAATAGTAGGTTCCCAGGGAATACTGAGGAACAAATGGATCTTGGTGTACAAGTCCATAGATCCTTGAAGGTGTCATTTCTGGTATATAGGGTGGTGAAGAAGGTATATGAGATGCTTGCCTTCATTAGGTGCAGCATAGAATATAGGAGCAAGGAAGTCTTGTTGCAACTTTATAAAACATTGGTTAAGTCACAGACAGTACTCTATGCACAGTTCCGGTTGCCACACAATCAGAAGGACACGACTGCACTGCAGAGAGTGAAGAGGAGATTCACCAGGATGTTGCCTGTAGTTTGGTGTTTGTTAGTCAGTACAGACACGGTGTGCCAAAAGGGTCTGTTTCTATGTTGTATGACTCTGTAGAGATAGGAGGACAAGTAGGTTGGGGTAGATTTGGTAACTTCATTAAAAAAGGCATGACACTAGACAGGCAATGGTTATTATTTAAGAAACTGATGCATAAATTGCAGCAATTATACATTACTTTTGGTCAAAAGAACACATCAGGAAAAGGGGCCCAACAATGGTTAACAAAATAAATTCGGGATGGCATTAGATTCAAAGAAGGCTGATATAAAGTTGCTGGGAAAATTTCCAAACATCAAAATGGGAACAGATTGGATGTCAGCAAAGACCAATAAGAAATTAATTGAGAGAAAAAGTAAAGTCTGAAAGTAAATTTAAGCTACATCAAAGTGAATTTGGAGCTTTTGTAAGTATACATGAAGAAAAAGATTTGTGAAGACAAATGAAGGCCCCTTACAATCTGAAACTGGAGAATTAATAATGTAGAACGAGGAAATGTAGAGCAATTAAACAACTACTTTAGTACTCTCATCACAGAAGGCGACAAATATTTTGCAGAAATTCGAAGGAAGCAAGGATGTTTTAAGGAGGGAGCAAGTGAATGAAGATAGTATTTGCAAATAAAAAAGTTGCACTAGAGATATTAATGGAACTGAAAGCTGATAAAATCCCAAGTAAGAGATTATGGTGCAAAATCAAGGCACATAGTATTTTACTAGCATGGATTGAAAATTGGTTAGCAGACAGGAATCCCAAGAGTATATATCAACAATTTGGATGACGGAATCAAATGTAGTATTTCCAAGTTTTTTGATGACACAAATCTAGGCACGAGTATGTGCAGTGAGGAGGACAAATGAGATTTCAGAGCAATTTAGGCAAGTTAAGTGCAATATAACACGAATATTGTTACATTATCCACTTTGGTAGGAAAAATAGAATGGCAGAGCATTATTTAAATGGCAAGAGATTGGGAAATGTTAGTGTACAAAAGGACACAGGTTCTTGTACAACACAGTCATTAAAGGCAAACTGTAGGTAATAGAAAACAGTTAGGAAGGCAAACGGTATGCCGGCCTTCATTGCAAATGGATTAGAGTACAGGGACAAGGGAGTCTTACTGCAGTTATCGGGGTCCTTGGTGAGACCACATCTGAAGACCTGGATTATTCTGTACAGTTTTGGTCTTCTTACCTAAGAAAAGATATACTTGCCATGGAGGGAGCACAGCTCAGACTAATTTTTGAGATGGCAGGTTTGTCATATGGGGAGAGATTGGGTTGGCTGGGCCAGTATTCAATGAGGTTTAGAAGAATGAGACACAATCTCATTGAAACATTTAAAATTCTGACAGGGCTGGACAGACTCGATGCAAGGATGATATTTTTCCCGGCTGGGACATCCAAAACACAGCGTCACGAACTCAGGATATACATGGAGACCTGATATATGGAAAAAATTCTTCAATCAGAGGGTGGTAAATCTGTGGAATTCTTTATCACAGAAATCTGTAAAGGTGAAGTGTCAAGAGGTTAAGGGAGACAGAGTAGGAGTATGGCTCAGCAATGATCATGCTGTATGGTGAAGTTGCCCTGAAGGGCCAAATAGCCTCCTCTTGCATCTATTTTGTATGTTACTAAACCTATAGGAGAATGGTTGGGGGTGATTGATTTCAGTCTATGTTTGTGATGAGCTGCCTGGCCTCTAGCTCCATATCTCTCCATGAAATTGTTGGCATGTGTGTTAAGCATTGCAAACACCAACCTCCAATGCATTATTCAGCACTGTATATCATCAGAGGATTGGAACATCACACTACCATACTGACAGATACCTCAATACCCTGTTCAGAAGACACAATAAAAGTCTCTTACTGTTTACTTGAGTGATCTTCCAGGTTTTTTCAATTCCAGGTTGCTTGCCCAGTTGAAATTTGAATGGATCTGCATTAGGATGGAGATCTTTGTCTGTTGCCCCCAAGATAGCAATGTTGACATCTTTTGTATCCTCACAGAACTTTGCTGTGGTTGGGAAAACGGAGGGTGGGTTGTCATTCACATCCAGCATGGTGATAATCAAGGTACCAGTGCCAGTAGCAGCAGGAACACCTAAGGGGTAAAGCATAAGTGTTTGTCAGTGAAATTGTAACAGGTTTCTGAATGTGTGTGAGTAAGACCCTTCAATAAACAAATGACTGGAATTCGTTGTCAAATAACATTGCGCAGCAAGTGTATCCTTTTTTGGTTCAAGTCTGAATGTGGGCTATTTTGGTCCCAGGTCTTCAGCAGACTAACCTTGAAGGGATAGCGGGAGGCCACAAATTAGAGTGAAGTATTTTCTTCAAACTCACCCATTTATGGAGCTGGAAATGAGGGCGAGATTGAGGAAGAGGCATGGTGGAGTGGGGAATGAGTGACAGATGTATGGAAATGGAATTCGAAATTGCTCATTCCAGCTTCACATTACTATAACACACTGCTGGTGGGTCCAGTTTGTCCCTTCACATTCCCCTTGCCTCATTAAGGTTTAAGGTGATTAAAAATGGCCCAATTTTGTCATCTTCAAACATAAGGCATGGGACACCATTTGTGTTAAGCTTTGAGCCTTTTTTTTCAAAGACCCACTCCCAGACTGAAAATGGGCTTAATCCAATTTTTTATAGGTTATGTCCTTATAAATATACTTTTGCATTTGTCACTGAAGTAACAGATGTATTATTTTATTTGTGTGATGTTATCTCTGTCTTTACTTACTTTGTTTATTAATAGCAATTTTGTAACGCAGATTTTTTGTTTAAATTGAGCACCTCGAATGGTGTAATTAATCAGATATTATGATAACATAGGGAATCAATTTGCCATCTACACTGAAGTATTTTCAGGAGGGCATCAATAGGAAAATGGCAGCTCAATTCAAATGCCACCACCTGATCTGTTGTTGAAGCTCAGAGAATATTAGCTGTGTCAGATCCTTACCAGGAATTTGGAGTTTCCACTGATGTGGTCCAATGAGAAATCCATTTAATTATTTCTACATGGTTCCATTGCAAGTCCTAAAAGTTGGCACAAGTCCAATGATAGGACAAAGCAGATGCTGTCGTTGGTTGGTTCGCCGAGCTGGTTTGTTAGTCCGCAGATGTTTCATTACCCTGCTGGGCAACATCATCAGTGCAACGTCCGATGAAGCACTGTTGTGTTTTCCCACCTGGTTTTTAAACTCTGGGGTCCATTGGATTTGATTACCTCATTTCCGGTTTTCCTTCGCAGTGGTGTATATATAGGGTCCAGCACTATGTGTTTGTTGATGGTCTTCTTGGTGGAAAACCAGGCCTATAGGAATTCCCGTGCTTGTCTCCGTTTGCCTGTCCTAGGTTCCTGGTGTTGTCCCAATGGAATTGGTGGTTCAAATGGGAATTCCTAGAGGCCTGGTTTTCCACCAAGAAGGCAATCAACAAACGCACAGAACTAGTCCTTATATATACACCACTGCGAAGGAAAACCGGAAACGAGGTCATCAAATCCAATGGACCCCAGAGTTTAGAAACCAGGCAGGAAAACACAACAGCACTTCATCGAAGGCTGCACTGATGATGTTACCCAGCAGGGTAATGAAACATCTGCGAACTAATGAACCAACTCGGCGAGCGAACCAACCAAACATCCACAACCTAAGCTACAGATCTACTCAAGAACCTTAGGGACAAAGCAGATATTTATCCCTTACCATGAAAGAACATTGTTATAAAAATTTTAGATCAGGTGAAATGAACTATTCCTATGTAACAGCATTTGTTGCGAGGATAAATATTGGTCAGAAATCTGGGGGATTCTCTTTTTTTAACTCTTCTGTGAAATGCATAATGGAACTTATTAACATCTTTCATTTCATTGATATGGTTCATTTTCAAAACACTGCATTGCCTCCCCATTTGTATCATCCTCTCAAGCTGCAGAAATCCCCCAAATCTCTATGTTTTTCCAATTGTGGCCTCTTGTGTTTAATCACTCTAGCTTGGTGCCCATCCTTCAACTGCTTTGCTAATAAACTGGAGCAGGGCTGGGAGGTAGAAGCTTGCAGTTTCAGTCCAGTTCTGCCATTTTATTTTGCCACAATGGTTAGCCTGTCCATTGTTGTGAAAATCTGGGGTCCCACTTTCTTTCCTCAAACCTTTTGCAGTTTCTTTAGAACACACGTCTAGGAACAAATTTCATACATGCCCTATAAGTTTCTTACATGTCTAAGTGTTATATTTCACCTGATGACAAGGCTTCTCAGAAATTTTATGTTAAAGGCACTATACAAATGCTAGTTGTTTAACTTAAAGGAAAGACACGAGCTCAGTTTGAAACCTGATCCAAAGAAGGGCAGTTCCATTTGTGCAGTACTCCCTTGATACTGCACTGAACGTATCAGCCAGGATTATATTTAAGGCTCTGCAATGAAATTTGAACCAGTAACCTGCTGAATCAGAGGCAAGTACAATCAATAATCCAAGGTATGTGTGTTTCAACATTTAAAATGCCTTAAATGTTATTATTATAATTAAAATATACAGTTATAGCACTTTTATTTGTTCTTGAATTCTGGTAGGTATTATTGCCAATCCCAACATTAAATCCTGCTTAAGACTCAATCACACAATGTGAGCTAGTTAGAATCACATGAAGGCAGACAAGATAGGAAAAGTTGGCTTCATTCCCTGAGGAACATTCATAAGCCAGTTGAGTTTTTAAACAATGTTCTAATTCTCACATTATCAGATTTATGAAAACCATTTACACACCTTATCATGACCTCAAAGGTTTGCTAATCCAGTGCTACAACATTTTCTTGACTGTTCCCACAGTGATCAATATTGATATTCAGATCCTGTATTCAGATTTACCACAAGGTGTGAATTCTAGACCATTTGCCACAACATCATCTTTTCAGTACAAATAAGGGAGTGCAATGTAGCCTCAATTATTTTAAAAACATCATGCCATAGATTCAACTCTCTGAATTCTCAATTATGGAAATTACTTCTACTTTTTGTTTAGTAGCCAGGAACAACTTAAAATAGAACTGTATAATGAATATTCATACAAAGTTCAATAACCATATGATTGAATATCTTTATCTTTACAGAATAATTTATCATTTAACAGTGGATAAACAAACATACAGTACTATCCAAATCCAATCAGTAGAGCCAGGAACATTCAATTTACATATCTCAATATAGTGATTTGGTTTAAAAAAAATAATGTTGACAATTTCTGAACAGTTCCCCGGACATACATACTGATTTTGGCAAGATTGCTTCTATGTCACTCAACTGTCCATTTAAATCACATAATGCTATTAGACAAATTAACTTCCCTGTATTTTGGAAAGACTGATCCTTCTCACTTCTGCATGTCCTAAAGGTGCTGGATTCAACCTTGAAGGATAGTGAAGTGTGAACATTTTGGGATTAGACCTTTTAAAAGAAAAATGTCAGTCATTTCTGCATTTTGTGTTTATCATGTCCAGAGAGACTGCAGTGGCAGAATTCTGTGCGGCAAGGTTATTCAGGGTCAGTTTGATGCACTAAGTGCTAATCAGTTTCATTGTTGGGGCACCGTGGTTAAGATACTGACAGCATAGTGGAAATTGACCGTAGTGCTTCCTTAAAGGCACAGACATGACATGAAAATTTTCTTAATTTCATTCAAATCAAAAACATATTTTTCATAAACTTCAAATCTTAAGAGATGTCTGTTAACATAATTTTAATAAACTATTTTCTGTCAGTTTAATCTGATTAATTCATTTGCATAGAACTGGATGAGACAGTTTAAAAATAAGGCGTCTCTATTTTTAAGGCAGAGATGAGTTTTTTTTCTCTCTCAGAGGGTCATGAGTCTATGGCACTTTTCTCCCAAGAGAGTGGTACAGGCAGGATCATTGAATATTTTTAAGGTGGAAGGAGATAGATTCTCGACTAACAAGGGATCAAAGTATAACGGGGCAGGCAGATAAACGGAGTTGAAGCCATAATTAAAATCAGGCACGATTTTATTGAATGGCAGTGATAGACTCATAAGCCAAAATGGTCGACTCCTGTTCGAGTTTGTATATCTGTTCAGAGTGATATAGTTCAGGTCCAGAATAATAATATCATAATGCACATAAGGTAACATCTCATCCTGAATTTACAACAAAACTGCTGCAGCAAATCGCATCCTGCACATACTATTTACAAAAAAAACAAACAGGCTTCAGTAAAATGCGTGGTAATTTTCCATTTATACTTTAGTTTCCCATCTGCTTTAGAATGGCTATTAATTTCAAAATGTTGCAACTTACCATGCACTTATGCCCTATAAATTTAACTTGCTTTATGCTAAGTACAATTAACTGTATTCTTATACCGAATTATTTCCACATTAAATAAAGTAAACAAAATAAATGGAATATTGGTTGTATTGAGATTTAAATAAAGGTTTCTGTATGAAAATGATAACCTTCGAAAAAACATTTATTTTCAAGCTGAATCAGTTCATGATACTAAACTTGTCATCTTTGATTTCACTGAATTGACGCCACCGTTTGAAAGAAAAACTAATTTTATGTAAAACTTGCAAACTTAAATAGGAAGGCAGGAAGTTATTTAAATCATAGCGAGCCTATCAGCAGAATAGAAATTAAATATACCAGGATATGAGAAGCAGATCAGTAAACGTATGATTACTCAATTCATACTAGCATACAGTTCATGGAATAATTGTGCACTCCGAATGCAGTGATACATTCTGTGCACATAACACTGTTAAGTGCAGTAATTCTGTTTTACGATGTAAGAAAATAATTGCATTGGAGTTCATCAGATTATTTGAGATTGATTTAAATTCTAATTTTTGGAACTATCTGCGCATCCACTTACATTTGCTGTAAATGAAAATAAGGTTAACTTACAAGACCACAGTCTCATGTAACTTGCTTTGTCACTTAAGATTACATACATCTCCAATGTTCTCACCACAATAATTTGTTGACAAAAATCACAATGGAAAGAGAGTGTGATGATTCTAAATCAAGTCTTGAACATATTAATTTGATGTGTTCACTTATAGTATCACTGTTA